AAGCAATTTTTCAATGTTATTCAGTTGTATCTCTGGTTGATTTTTATTGCAAGTGGATCTATTTTAATCACTAGAAATTTCTTCACAATCCTTTCTATCTTGACTTTTCCACCCAGTGATAGAAAAAAAAATGTTTTCATTGTGCTTATAAACACTTCCAACTGCCAATCACCGGTCTGAACAAAATCATTGAATTTTGCTCATTCAACAATGAACTTATGGTACGGTAATCCATCTATCATGTGATGTTGTCCGTTACCTTGTCTGGTAAGTCTGGTTTTATTAGAGTTTTATTACCATCACCTTAAAGACTCCAAGGGTTGTTGAGTTCCAAGGGCAATGCTCTTGAACTTCATGGCTCCTAAAACACTAAAATTAATTTGTGTGACCAATGTAGCCTCATGGAGAAAATGGATGATTTCATTGGGTCTAGGACTACGCAAGAAATATATTAGTTCAAAATTACTTTTTAATTTTGAACTAATATATTTAATATTAGTTAAATATATTATTTTATATCAAATAAGGCACTGATAGAGCTCACTACTTTATAAACTTATTTCATTGGAAATAAGCAGTAAATTTATAAAGCACTGAGTAAAAATGTATTTTTAAGAGAAAAGAGTGGCTTGCTTATTTTTCAATAAATCTCATGAAATCTGGGTTTAATTTTGAAGCCTGCCACTCTCATATATCAAATGGTGGAGTAGCTGAGGGAGTGTCTCTTTAAAAAACAACAACCCTTCTCTTAAATCCCTCCTAAGTTTCTGCAAATTGCAGAATATGGCCAGGCTGTAAGTTCCTAGAACAGCCACACTGAGATAGCATCTGCTTTCTCTTCCAGGATGGTTTTGTCTCCTCCCACTCTTGCAATTTTTTTGCTATCTGCTTCCTTACAGACTTTCCACCTTTCTGGTCTATGACAATTCCTTCTAGAGAGCCAGGATCAGAATGTGGGAATGAAACTGCCTCATCTGAAGGCAAACATAACAGCAAAAATAACACTCTTTTAATAATACAGGATGCTAAAAGGGTTACTTGTGAGATAGTATCTCCCCCAGTTCCGTCTACCCATCCGGTTAGATCTGGCAGAAGAGGCAGGCTTTGTATTCCATCTGCAAAATTGTCACTATCAGGACTCAGAATGAAAGACTTTTAATCCGTCCTATGGAACATCATCTCTAAAAAAAATCAGACTTCCCTCGACCCTGCTGGCTTTTCCACAAGGCACCAAAAACCTGCCTTTGCCATCAATCCAAAGCCCTGATTTTATGGGCGAACCCATTTCATGGTTAATTTGAATGCTTATGAGTTTTCTTGGCCGCTATTTTTTGCTTTGTCTTTTGTTTTTAATTTTGGTTGTATATTTTTTATCCTATTATTAGTAATCAAATACACAACTGCATCCTATAAACTAAATTGAATGAAGACGACAATGTGGCCCTGTCCAAGATATATCCATCAGGTTACCAAATCCTATAAAGCTGCAACTCTGTGATCAGAATTTGTGTTGGAGTGGTCTAGGCTCTGATTTTTATCCCCTGAATATGAGTTCTGGTTGGACTTCGGATTTCACAGCTTCCGTGATCTTGTCCTATGTCATATCTGCCCTGAAACAAATGATCATAAACTAACTTTTGGTACAATGGCAGCATGAGGACGATATTGTTATCAATCCACTGCTATAGTTAGATCATTATTTTATTCATATAATTATTGAATTGTATGATCACTGCCAAGGGGTGATAGGCCAACCAAGCTGATTTGACACAGGTGTCTCACTGAGTCAAATAACTTAAGAGCATTTATGGATTTCCCTAGTAATCAGTATACCCGATTGGTTACTAAAGTTCAGTGCTGGACTAAGGCACAAGGCAAGGTTGCATCCAATGAACACCCGCAGTCTCGGATCCCCAAGTCTCCTTAGTTCTCTAAAGAACACTGAAAATGAAGAAACAGCTATATTGAATTGGGCTGCTCAGAAAACGATGATAGCACTTCCAGGATCGCACATGCAGCTCAACAAGAGAGGCTTGTTTAGCTATCACAAGCTCTGCAGCATTCCAAAACAACAGAATGCTGCAGAGCTCAAGTTAGTGAGCCAAATAGGCTTCTTCATTGCTGGCATCACACTGCACTACACTGCAATCCCACATGCGGCCATCATTTTCCAAGTGGCCATTTGGCTTGTGGATGCAGAGAATCACCCCTGGAAGCAGCCACTCAAAAAATGCCAGCTGCTGGTGGGATTGCCCTGTGCAATTCAGCATGGAGAGGCTTGCTTCTGCAATGCCAGAAGTGTAAGCAAGCGCACTGGACCATGAAATGTAATACTGGAAGCGGCTATTTTTTGAGCAACCATCATTCCATGCAGGCGCTCAGAATATAGCAGTTTCTTCCAGGCTAGGCCTTCCAGGGCCTCCCCTACTCAAGGAAGCCAGTGCTCCTTTTAATAACCTGTGATCTGACATTAGGAAAAGGAAGGGTGAGGGTATTAAATCCATTATCTGTATACTGCAATCCTTGCTAAGGGTTACCTATATCCATTTCTTGGAAATGGAAGATATTTCCATTGGCTGCTGTAATAGGTTTCTGATACTATTTGCGGATAGAATTATTTTCATTCACTCAAGACTTAAATGCCACTGGGGCAGTCTTATAACTTTAGCATCAGTTTCCAAGAGCAATCAAGATTATTTTGAGTTCATAGAAAGTGGAAGTGGATAATATTCCCTAGGGGTTGGTTTCTTTGACTGGCTAGATAAAGTGTTGGGTAAAGTTTTATTTGATAAATGATCAGTTTATTTGAGAGAGCAGGAGATATCAGGAAGAACATACTGTATATTTCTGCCTAGGGCATTTCTGAATCCATTTGTACAATTACCTATCTTTCTTTTTTGGAAGATGAGGTTTCAACTTCAGAAAATGTTAGAGAAGATTGTCTTCATCCCTTGGATGCTGTTGAGGTCCTCATCCAATGAAGAAAAGGGACAGTGAGTCCGTACAAGTTCCAACTCAATTCTTATAAAAGTTATTGTCTATACTAGGGGTGTCAAACTTGCATCATCACGGTGACATATCAGGAACCCCCCCCCCTTCTTTAAACCAGGAGTGGGAGTAGCCAACTTGTGATGCATCCAGTCCACGGGCCGGGAGTTTGACAGCCCTGGTCTACATAGTAGTTGACTCATTTGGGTTGATTTTAATCCCTAATTTGACTTTGGATGAGCGTTGTTTCTTGAAAGAGCAAATCCGCAACTTGAGGTCCTCCTTGACTTACAGCTTCTGCTTGAGCAGAAGATGGAAGACATAAATGGGTCTTTAATGGTACACCACTTGAAAATCTTTTTGGATCAAAAGTTTCATGCAACTGTGTCTCATGCCCTTATATTTAGACCAGGCACGTCCATCTCATGGACCACAGGCTGCATGTGGTCCTGAACAGCTAGTTATCTGGTCTGACATCATTATAAAAAGTATACTAAAAAAGGAAGATTTTATATGTATTAGCTATAGTATATCTTTTATATGCAATCCAAGACAATTCCTCTTCAGTGTGACCCAGGCAAGCCAAAAGGTTGGACATCCTTCACATGGACCTTCCTTTGAATCTATCCCAGACCTTGCAGTTGGTTCAGGAAGTGATAGGTCTGGTAGTGTCACACATACATTGAGGTTCGTCATTAGTTACTAGTAATTTCTTGACCAATTCAAGGTGCTTGCTTAAGCGTTTTAAATATTACAAGGCTTGGTACTCTGCTTCAGGACTGTCAAAATCAAAAATCAAAATCAACCCATCTGAATATCCATTTCAAGAGACACTGCCTGGGTCTTTAAGCCATATAACGTAAAAGGACATAAAACCAAGAAGTATGACTATTTAATGATAGTTCTAAGTTAGGATAGTTTATTAATTGACTAAACTTGCAACCTCATCAATAAGATAGTTCTACATTATTTGCCCTATAGCTCAAGGAGCCCCCACCAATGCTTTGATTTTAATAATTTAATATTAGGTTATTATAAATTAATGAAATACTTTATGGCAATTATCTTTGTTTCCTTCTACTTTTGTAGATTGCATTTTGATAAATTGCAGATTGATACCACCTGCACAATTCAAACATATACAGCAGCAGGGGGGTCTCCAAGCCCTGGGCCACAGACCATTTTGAACCAGGCTGCGGAAGTGGCGGGCATGCATGCAGGCAGTTTTACCTTCATGTGCAGCAGGCAGGCAAGCGCACACAGCTCTATTTGTGTGAACGGCAGATGCATGTGTCTACCACTTGCGCAAATAGAGCTGTTCACATGGAACCATCCCCTCTCCCCCCCCAGTCCGCAATGCTGGAGAAACTGGAGGCTGCTACTCAGGGGTGGGATGCTACCGGTTCTGTCCGGCTCTGTAGAACCGGTAGCTCTGAAGAGCAGCAAACACAGAACCTGTTCTGTGTCTGCTGCTGTTTTGGCCCACCCGCCCGCCCGGGCTCTTAGCTGTCCCTTATTTCCTGCTTTTTCAACCTCAGCTGCTTTGCACGGCATAGCTGAGGTTGAAAAAGCAGGAAAAAAGTGTTTTTTCAAATGCTGCACACTCGCGCGCAGTGCTGCTCAGCTGTCCAGGTAGCCCAGCAGTTTGTTAATTGCACGCGCACAGTGCACGTCAGGCACGCATGCGCGCAAAGCACGCATGCGCGCACGACACATACCCCCAAACCAGTAGTTACACCGGTCGGATCCCACGCCTGCTGCTACTTTACAGGTTCATACAAATAAACACTTGTTGTCCACTTAATTTTATTATTGCAAAGAATAATCCCTCCACAGATGTTGTAATACTACTAGAAAAAAATTGGTCCAGGGAATAGAAAATGACTCATTTTCTTATAAAAGGAAAATTTAGACAATTCTTGATTTATAGCAGAGACCAGTTTTACTGGAAAATATTAATTTAGCAAAGAAATAAGCACTGAATATTGCTAATTTTATTATATATTTATTATTCCAATACACACAATGAAATAAAATAAAAATGCTTATACACAAATTCTTGTGCTAAATTTAAACATAGGAAATCTAATCACTAAAAAAATGAAAAAAAAAAAAGATTGACTTTCAGTGGTTTTGTTGCTTTATAAACAAAAGGAAGTCATTTATGAGGGGTAAGATCTCTACAAGGCACATAAATACTTTGCATTTATGTGCAATTGCATGAACCATCATTTTCAGTAATCATCATGAAGATTCCTTCTTGAACTAAAGACAAATCCATAAAGTTAATTTTCCATTAAAGTGGTTTTAAGACTTACAGTTTAACTGTTCTATACAGCCATTGTAAAGCACTTTCACATTGCATGTGAAAGGCTCTCCCACCCTCAAAATAGTTTAACTTCTAAAGAATATTATCTTTTGTTCGTAGGTTGGAGTTTCAAATAAGTGTTTCAGTATACTAATAAACCATACTCTCCAGAATTAGTCAAATCATGCTTATTTTACTAGAAATAAATTATAGTATCACTATACAAAGCAGTATCAACATTCAATTTAAGTCTTAAGAATAACAAAAGGAGTCAAATTGCAAATTAAATATTTTGAGATACCCAATACATTTTCTAAGTTGTTTCAATTAGTGAGCCAAATATTATTTGAAAGTTCTGCAAGTTACAGAATCCCATAATATACAGCAAACAGATCACACACTTTGTTCAAAATGTATTTGTAGGCGTTTACTCTTACAATGCAAGCATAATTTGTGTAGTTTCCTGAAGATAAATTTAAGTTCCACAACTGAAAAGGGATTTAAACCCACAAGGTTTCAAAATGATTAACAAGGTAAACTGTGACTTTTAATGCCAGAATTGCACATAACTTTTCAGAAAGCAAGCCAATGATATATAACTGGTCCTGCTATTATATAACATGGTACAAATCAAAACTATAATCAGTCGCACTATATTTTCCCAAAGGTACTCCTCAAATTCAACTCCTTGAGATAGCAGTTTGCAGCAAGTACATAGCACAAACTAATTCAATTTTTATTATTTTTATACTGACAGAAGAAAAAAAAAGACCTGCATGTATTAACTAAAATAGCATATTTATTTTGCTATCAGCTCACATTACTGGTCAGCATTGATCCACAATCATTAACCAAATAAAAAATTCTTCTCAAAAGCAAAAGCTTATTTCTTTCTTAGGTCATAGAGCTGGTATATTAACCTTTACATGCTGAAATATTCAATGTGTGGGGACTTCACAATCCAAGACCCATAACCATGTTGCTCCAGGTAGGATTTCAGCAAGTATTTTGTCCCTTGGTAAGATTCTGCCATAATCTAAATTTAAAAAAAATTACTGAGGAATTGATAAGAAATTGGTAAGAAATTTTAACAATAACCCGTTTCTGAAATGCACTTTAATTTCTGATTTTTAACTGATGTAATGGATGGCTGAAACTTTTTCTTAGATCTTATACTGTGATTTTTTTTGTTTTGACTTTTTTATTGTTACTTTTTTTTTAAGTAAAAGAAGAGCTGTATGTCACTGTCACAGGAATGAATGATCTCAACCAGGAGTCACTACAGGTACTCCTCAACTTACAACCATTCATTTAGCGACTGAAAATTACAACATTGAAAAAAAGTGATTACCAGTTTTCACACTTATGACTGTTGCAACATCCCTGTGATTATGTGATCAAAATTCTGGCACTGGCTTGTATTGATAACAGTTACACTGTCTTGAGGTCATATGATCACTATTTGTAATCTTCCCAGCCAGCTTCTGACAGGCAAGACAATGGGGAAAGCCAGATTTCCTTAATGACTGCATGATTCACTTCACAATTGCAGCAATTCATTATTAGTGTAGCAAAAAAGGTTGCAAAATGAGGCATAGCTCCTTTAACTACCTCACTTAGCAATGGAAATTTTGGGCTCAACTGTGGTCGTAAGTTGAAGACTACATGTACATGGAACAGAAATAGTAAGCAGGGTTGAGATTCGTTAAGACAGAGGACATACACTGATCCTATAGTTGCTAAGAACGAAGCTGAGCTTGAATGTTACTTTTTGCTTTCCACAATCTATTAATGTAGTAGTTTGGGGGAATTGGAAAAAGCCTAGGCAGATCGTACAGGCAATACCAATTTTTCTATCATTGCTTGAATAGATGGCCCATATTTTAGTTGTTAAATACAAGTTATCACAAAGTTTGCCTTTAGATGGCAAAAGAGGTATATTTTTATTTTATTTTATGATAAATCCAATTACAGATGGTATTATAAAATAGCACTTACACTGTGTGCACAATTATTAGGTAAGTTGTATTTTGGAAGATTAATTTTATTATTGAACAACTACAGTGCTCTTGGTCAATCCAAAATGTTAATAAACCACAAACCTGGATATTTAAGAAAGTAAAAGTGAGGCTTTTGCTTTCTTAGAATATCTATGTGTGCACAATTATTGGGCAACAAGAATTATTATGCAACTAATTGAAAAAGGGAAATTTGCCCATCTTACTCGTTTATTTGCATCTGCTAAAGTGAGAATAAACAAACAATTCAAAATGTACAAACATTTCTGATGTTTCAAAAAAAAAAAAAATCAGTGACCAATATAGCCACCCTTTTTTTCAAGTTAGTCATGGAGTTTGTCAGTTTTTTGATCTGTTGACAATCAACTTTTTGTGCAGCAGAAACCACAGCCTCCCAAATACTGTTCAGTGAGGTGTACTGTTTTATCGTAAATCTCCTGTTTAAGAAAGGCCCAGAATTCTCAATAGGGTTTAGGTCAGGTGAGGAAGAGGGCCATGTCATTATTCTTTCATCTTTAAGGCCTTTACTGGCTAGCCACAAGAATTCAAGAATGCTGCTGAAAGACTTTTTACAATGTTTGACTTTTTAGAGTCAGTTAAATCTCTTTTTTGGCCCATTGTGCCTGACGAAAAGAAGCTACCTAATAATTATGCACTTTGATATAGGGTGTTGATCTCCTTAGGCCACACCCTCCCATATTATACAAACACACAGCCTCTGATATGCTTACATCCACTGAGCATTCAAGTTTATATAACTTGGAGGTGAAAAAAAAAGCATAAAAATGATATAGTCAAAATACTCACTTGCCTAATAATTGTGCACACAGTGTAGTATGAGATGCTTCTCCTTATACTGTATATCCTAAATTCCTCAAAGCCACTATAAAAGGATACTCAATAATTTTTCTTATTTTGTTACAAGTGTAAAAAAAGAAACAAGGGATAGAAAGATGGGCAGAATTCCAAAAACAGTTAACTTAAATAAATGTGGCTTGTTTTTGATATGATTCCTATTTATAGACTAGGCAGTATCATGAAGTCATCCTGTGAAATTAAGACAAGAAACATGCAGATCCACTTTCCAAATCACATTCTAAATCAATGCAAACCTATTTCTGCAACAGATCTGAAATAATTACTTGCTAATACTTAAATCACACTATGATTATTACTTAGCTTTGAAGTCAATAGTTCAATAGCTATAATTCTACATTAGAAATTATGACACTTTTATTAGAGCACATTTATATTAGCTGTTACCTTTGCTTCATGGTAAGTTGTTGCTTTAAGTAAATCTTCTCTCTTTGATTCTTTAACCAGTAACTTAAAGCGACTTAACATTGCAGCTTTGCAAAGACGACTTGCCATTGAAATACCACTTTTGAAGGGTGAACTAATTTTGAAAAAGATAGCAATAATAAGGAGCATATTCCAAGAATAATTACCATTGGTTAAAACCGTAAGCTATCATTACATAATAAAATTGAAAATTATTTTGAAAGAAATCTATCAAAATTATTTCATAAAATTAAAATTTCTTTAATTTTTCAAAAGAACAAGTTCATATTTTATTTAATGAACTTTATTGGAACACTGACCTTTCATTGATTTTTCCATTTAATCCATCTATCACCTCCAGCGATAAGTCTCCTTGGGACCAATTCACACTAAGAGACCTATGGTCCAGGTCAATTTCCACAGGGTATGCAGCAGTTACCAAATTAATATGAGGTCTATTCACAAGGTAGAACATGGGAAATTTTTTACTAAGTGCATCGTCTATGCGCTGTTTGATGGCTATTTCTAATCCTCTTGTACTACAGCAATTTGCGTCCCCTAAAAAAATTGAGAAGCATATCACAAATATTAAAAAGAGGATCAAGAAATTAACTTGAAAATTAATTCTATTGTCATCATCACTGTAAATGGCAAGATGAACTTCTATAAAATTACAGTAGACATTTACTTTTATGTAGAACAGTAAAATTTAAAGACACTGAAAATAGATGCTGCTAATAAATTTTGTGTTTACTATTTCAATCCTGATTAAAATGCATTTGCAACTACATAGCAGATTCAGTTTAAATACATAGATCTCCTAAATCATTCATTATAAAACAAACATCAGTTAGGTCAAAGACTGCCTATGAATACATACTGAAATTTATATCTTAAGTTCTAAATGAGAATTTCATAGAATTCCAGCACTGCAAGAATTTAGAAAGTCAAAGGTTCATATTTTTAACTGAAAATAAATGTAGCATTTAAATCTATATTTCTTCTCTTCACTCTTATAATACAGTCATGTGAAAAAGGTAAATACAATATCATATTAACAATGCATGACATTACACTGTCATTTTACCAAAAAACAAAACAAAAAACCCCAAAATGGAGAAATCATCTATAAAAAACTAAGTACACCTTATGATACAATTGCTTGTAGAACCACTTTTAGCAGCAATAACTTGAAACCATTGTTTTCTGTATGACTTTCTCACATAGTTGTGGAGGAATTTTGGCCTACTCTTCTTTGCATTGCTTCAATTCATTGAGGTTTGTGGGCATTTGCTAATACACAAGTCTTTTAAGGTCTCACCACAACATCTCAATTGGGTTGAGGACTGGACTTTGCCTGGGCCCTTGGAATACTTTAGTTCTTTTCTTTTTCAGCCATTCTGTTGTAGATTTGCTAGTGCACTTGAAATCATTGTCCTATTACATGACCCAATGCCAGAGAGCTTTAGCTGTCCGACAGATGGCCTCCTGTTTGACTTTAGAATGTTTTATTATATAGAAAAGTTCATGGTCAACTCAAAAACTGTAATTTGCCCAGTTCTTGTGGCTATAAAACAAGCCCAAATCATCACCCCCGCTACCAACATGCTTGATGGTTGATATGAGATGTTTGTGCTGATATGCAATGTTTTGTTTTCACCAAATATGGCACTGTGCATTATGGTTTCATCTGTCCAAAGGGCAGTGTTTCATAAGTTTTGTGATTTGTTTAGATGCAACTCTGTAAGCCTAAACATGCTATCATTTTCTTTTTTTTTTTAGAGAAAAGAAGGCGATCCTTCCAAGCAAACAATACTTGTTCAGTCTTTTTCTTATTGTACTGTCATGAAGATTAACATTTAACATGCTAACTGAAGCCTGTAGAGTCTTAAGATGTAACTCTTGGGTTATTCTGCTATTTCTCTGAGCATTCCATGATCTGACTTTGGGGTGAATTTTCTGGGATGATTTGAAATTATCTTGAATGTTTGTCCACTTAGGGGTAATCTTCCTCACTGTAAAATGATGGGCTTTAAATTGCTTGGAAATGGCCTTATAACTCTTTCCAGATTGATGGACAACAACAACTGCTTCTCTAAAATAATTGCTGATGACTTTACTCTTTGGTATTGTATTAACCCACACTTCTATGCTGGAGACCAAATTTCTAAAATCTCAATTTTTAGAGAGGTAGTCACACTTGCTGATGTTCAATTAATCAAGGGCACTTGATTAGCAGCACCTTGCTGCTACTTAGCCTCTTCATACCTATGGAATGAGTAAGGGTGCACCTTGTTTTTCCACATATGTCTTGTCCATTTTGGCTTTCTTTTTCTAAAATAAATGATAACATGGTGTAATATGTCATGTGCTGTAGTTCATCTGAGGTTGTATTTACCTCTTTTTAAGAACTGCTAAGGACCAGATGATTTTTAGTTATGTCCTGATATGCAGAACTATAGAACTCAAAGAGGATGTACTTTCTTTTTCACATGACTGTATAACTTTATAATACAGCACTACTGAATTAGAAATAATTTACTTACCAAGAACTATTGTGCTAACATAAATTGGCTGAATGAAGTGACTCAGTAGGGCTCCTTGAACACCCAACACTTCCCACCTTGTCAGTTTATCACTGGTAGACATGCTGCTTATTGTGGCAATTTCAGCAGGACAAAAAGCTGTCAGATAAACCTTGCCTTCAACAACCACATGAAGACACAGTTCTTCATCAGCTTCAAATGCAGATACTGAGTTTGGATTGAGATGCCTACAACAAAGGATATAGATCAGCCCTTATATATCCCAAACATATAGATAAGAGAAATAAAAACAGTATTTTAAGAGGATACCAAATACTGATATAAAAGCTAGTTTGAAAAGTATTTTATTGTTCTTCAAGAATATTTTATCACAGTATAATAAATTAAGGTGTTGGACAAGGAAAGACACAGATTCTAATCCACTCTCAGCTACTGGAATTCAATGTTTTTGGACAATCTACCTCATAGAGTAGCTTTGGGAGAGCAAAAAATAGGAAACAACACTATCTATGCCACTTCGGACTTCTAAACACAATGGAATATATAAATTAAATAAACAAAAAGCCTCACCAATACATAATCAAAAACATGTTTTTGAGGAAAATTATGAATTCTGCTTTATCTTTAGAAAACACTACTTACAACTTAGACTTTATCTGAGCAGATCCTTTTGGCAACTGATTCATGTAGAGAAATACTTTTATATTTGGTTTTAATGCAAGCAGGTTAGATGTTGGATCAGTACAAAATATGGATTTGTCCATTATAGCAGGATTTTTACTGTAGTAAATTAAAAGCTGTCTATAAAAATACCTTTAAAGAAATATTAACATGTTAGACATTAGACATCGTCTTTAAAAATCCATATTAAATGCAGTTGAAATTCTGTGAACTTCAACATCATAGAAGAATTACATAAATGTAACTGAGTTGGGGGGAACATCATTATATACTTACCTAAGTAGAGAGCGCCTTGCAGTAACAACTGCATGACTATCATGCAACACTCTTCCATCAGGATGACTGCATTGGCTATAATTAAATTCACCTGTTCCAATAGCCACCACTTCATATTGTGTAGCTATGGGGAAAAGAGTAATTCTTTTTAATGCTCAGGGTAAAAAGACTACCAACACCTAAACAATATTATTTACAGGAAGCATGCCTACCTCTTTCAATTATGAAGGCAGCTACTGAACTGCTACAACTCTGGTACTCTGGATACTTAGCCACCAAATTATCGAATATTTCTCTGACAACTTGAGAAATTTTTCTATGTGCGAGATGCTTCTCCTCTAGTAAAATATTTTTTTAAAAAAGTAAACAAAGTAAGTTTTTTTAAGCTATACTGGTATAATCATTCAAGAAAAGAAAGAACATTAAAGTTTGCATTCTTCAGTGCATAGAGTAACTTCTGAGTGGAAAATCATTTTCTTGAAATCTGTAGGACTCCCAACTATTTAGCTTAGACATTTGAACTACAGGTGGTCCTTGTTTAATGATTCCATATTCAGGGATTGAACGTACAATGATGCTATATAGTGATAATTATGACTGGTCTTTGTACTTATATCAGTAGCAGCAGCAGCTCCATTATTGCCCAGTGCCTGGCTCACAATTACAACAGTGCAAGATTTTTCAGTCACATGATCACTATTTTTGACCTTCTTCCATATATTATTGCTCCATCTAGCTCCTAGTGCAGATTTTTCTCCCATAATCACTAGAGCTGTGCGAGTCTCAAATCCAGGTCAGGCCAAATCCATTTACCCTTGAATAAGAGGGTTGGAAAGGCCCCTCGAGGTCTAGATCAGGCATGTCCAACCCCTGGCTCAGATGTGTCCCTGGATAGCGCAAAATATTGTCCCAAAATATAAAAAGTAATGGAAGTTTTCAAAAAATACTTTATAATATATACATTGTATGTAGCCCAAAACAATTCCTCTTCACTCAATGTGGCCTAAACAAACCAAAAGATTAGACAACCATGCTCTAGATCAGGGCTGTCAAACCCAATCGCATCACAGGCCGTAACAGTGACGTATTGGGATGGTTTTTGCCTTTGCAGAGCTGGAATGGGTGTGTTTATCTGCAACACAGATAAGCAGGCATTTGACACTGATAATTCAATGCTGTTACAGATATTGCATTAATTCATCAACAAAATGGATAAACTATATGGATTAATTTAGGTGTTTAAAAAGGTGTTTAAGAATAAAACAGCACATTCCTACCATAATGAATCTTTGTAAAATAGGCAGATTCTGTTGTTATTTGAGGTTTGGCTGCATGTATACTTTCAGCAAAATTTCTGACAGGACCTGCAAACACAGTAGCAGTTATAAAGAGAAAACCCTTCCACACTAAAGTCCCCGAGTCACCCTAAAAAAAACTATGCTGGTGTGAAATTTTCTCTCTCATTACTGTTCTGTCCTGACTGCATTGACCCTATTCCCAGTTAATTCAGTCAAATTACTTCCTTCCAAGGTAATGGTTAACAAAACGTGTGACATAGTGGGACTGTTCTTCAATGGCAGCAGAATAAGGGGGAAATCACCACTTTAACATCATATACTTAAGAGCAATTTAAGATGTGGATGAGAGAATTATATCCTATTGGCAAAAGAAAAAAATGTTACCAAGGTAGGTTTATAAAATGGCTCCTGTAAATGAATGTAACATTATTTAAGGCAGCAGCTTCTACATAAGATTAAATCTAGGACTCTCTACAATTTGATTACTTCTCTTCATCTAAACTCATATGGGAGGAAAATGGAGCGCTAGCCAGCAGATTGTTTTTAATTATTTTTATTGTATTGATGTTTTTGTTGCTTTCGTGGGGTTTATTTTGCTGTATTGTTTTGTGTTTAACTTTGTATGCTACTCAGTCACATACTGTACATGTGTTGTGGTTAGCCGGCAGCAGGTGCAGACGGTAGAGGAGACCGAGGATTCAGAGAAGGGGCCGGGACCATCAGGGAATGGACTGCTGCCTTCAGAGATGGTGGGGGCTGGCAGCAATGACGAGGAAGTTTCAGAAGAACCTGAGTTCAAGTGTATGTGATCGCAGGATGCTTCGTAGGAGGGAACAGCTGAAGCTGCATAGACGACTCGGGAGTAAGGAGACAATATAATGGCCCCTCCCCCTAGGGAATATAAGCTTGGTTGCAAACTGCTTTTGCCTTTGCAGAAGGCAAAAAAAGTTTGAAGGAGTTAGTGTGATGATTACAGGCTCTGATTTATTGGACTAATTGGCTGCAAGCCATCTGTTATCTACAGAGAGGGTTATTTGTAGAATAAAGCCGTGAAAGTTTGAGTTTATCCGTGTTTGCTTTCAGAAACTTTGGCTGGGTCAGAACAATATGAGATGGGTAACTACATAAATTTACCAAATAAATAATTGTTCTAAAGAAAATGTTATACTGCAATATTAAATCTATTAAATCTTCTGATATTAATCTAACAAAATTCTTATTTTACATTTGATAATATGTCCCATTAAGGCAGAACCTACCTACCACCCCAAGGTTAAGAAAAAATATTCTATCTGCCCTTTTCTCCAGAGTCCTAGTACTAAGTCTTAGATATGAAGAATACCACTAATCCGGGGGTCCCCAAATTCCAGGCGATGGACTGACACCAGAAACCAGGCCGAGCAAATGAGTGAAGCTCCATCTGCACACATGCAAGATGCAGGCAGCATGTGAAACCCCACCACCACCAGGTTTTTGGAAAAACCTCACTCCATGAAACCAATCGCTGGTGCCCAAAAGGTTCAGGGCTGCTGCACTAAACAGCTGGGGAGATATTCCCTCCATCACTCACATTCCAATTGAACAGAGAGAATATCCATTTATGTTTCAAGATAAAAGCTTTACCTGGTTTTTCCAAAGCTTTTGGTTCTGCCTCTTCCAACTGCAGAAGTTCATCAAGAGCAAGTTTTGCTGCATTTGATTTTGATTCCTTCTTATTTTGGCCCAACCCAGTCTTATACTGAATGCCATCAACTATAGCACAAAAAGCAAAGTAACTCCCCAAGATATTTCCTTCAAAATGCAAAAAGGAAAGCAAACGTTTATTTCTAGTTTCATAAAAATTAACATGTTTTCATCCAGCTTTAAGTATGCTTTACTAATATCAAACTCTAGTCTACCTAGATTTAGGAAAAATAAAAAATAAAGGTTATGACTCTCAAACATGTTAGCATCTCTGTAATTTTATGTCCTCGTCTAAAATGCAATCACATTGCAATGATCTTGTCAATGTAACAGAATAATTGAAATACATGTTTAAATATTTCGAAATAGATTGTTGACAGTTGTTTCATACCACCAAATAAAACCCTCTTCCTGATAAATAGGTGAAATTAGCATCCATTTACCAGTTCCTAGCATCATGTTATATCCGATTTCTACATAAAAGAATTTTAGATTTTAGCTAGATGAAGGCAAGAGACATCTTAACAATCTTATTTAAGTCTGGCATGCAATACCATAGTAAAATATTGGGAACAGCAATTAAGAGATCTGATTTCACAACTAAACCTGTAGAACAATGTGAATACCTGACAGATGCCATTTAAAATAGCCATTACATATTTCTCAAATATACCATACCAAGACTTCTGAGTTTTTTGATCAGGATCTTTCATTTGCTTTCAGAGTGATTTCCTATAGCTTAATTCAGAAAATACATTAACTAAGTTTAGTTAATTCAGGAATGCCTCTTTAGTAGTTGGGATCAATTTTTATTTTCTTTTGTTGGAAATTTTAAAAATGCACTAAGTATTTTAAGCCTTCCAGAAGCTTAAGGCACCTCTAATCTTTTTCCTATTTTTCCCCTTTCACCATTTGTTAGGGCACTGGATTAGAAACTGAATTGTGAGCTGACTGAGTGACTTTGGACCAATCTTTATCAACCCAACCCACCTCATCAGGTTGTTGTTGTGGGGGGAAAACAGAAAGCAGGAACACTATGTACAACACCTTGAATTGTACAACTACAGGCTGGATCTAATAACTATAAATTATATACTCTGGTTTGTCTTTGGATCTTATAGATTTTATGAACTTTTGGAAAAGAACCAATAAGGGCCAAAATTGGAGCCATAATTACATCATCAGTTAACCCTCCTTAATGCTGGTATAAATGTGCCCCCCCATCTGAAAAGAATTACCCACCAGTGTGCCAAACAAACTTTAGTTTGCTAGTTTCTTACACCACACTGAGGAAAAACCACAAGGTAACAAGCCATAGAGTCCTATATGCAGTTTATTTACAGCAAACCAGTTCCCTAGGCTTTTCTGATGTACACAATACATGCTTCAATATCCAGCTATTAGGACAATGCAGATACCTTATAAGTAAAAAAAATACCTGTTGCCACAGTCTCCTTTAATTCAAGTTGTACACGTTGCATTTGTGCAAATTGATGTAAAGCTGAGACTGGATTGATCTCCCCTCGCTTGTATTTTGAAATAAATTCCTTTGGAATTTTCTTGGGAGGAAGTGAAGTAATTGGAATTATAGGCACAGTTTTAGCATATTGATAGTCATGACCTATAAAGCACATTGGTAAAGAGCACAAAAAAACTAATGTGAAACACAGTGATTACTTGATCTGAAACATAGTAACATCTTTCATTGTTATTTATATTTCTTCTCTTCCAAAAATTCCTCTTTAGAGTCAATTTACAAATGAGACTTATTCCATTTTATACTTAATCAGCCCCTTTAAAGATCCTGTACAGTTATTTTAAAAATTCCAGTGTAAGTTTATCAAGATAAATACTATGGGAGAAAATCAGTAACTATAAGAAAGTTTATATAATTATATCTATAACATAATGAAATGCTTGGGATATTCCGAACTACAAATGCATTAATTTGTATAACTGGAGCAACATCCAAAAAGAACAGTTCAAACAGTTTTGCAAAAGATTTGTCAAGCTGTATCAATAGCTAATATGAGATGGATAATTACATTCAAAGAACTCTGTTAATGAATATTATGTTTGCAATATGATGTAGAAGCAAATGCTATCAAGACTAATTGTCATACTAGTATACATATGTGTGTAGCCAAATTACTAGCTGTACAGATTGAAAATGTAGGTCTCACAACAGTACAATCTCTTGTAACTGATAATGAATAACATGAAAGTTGCCTTGAAAATATTAAATATGATTGTATAGTATTGTCTATTTCATATTCTGGTAAGAGACCTAAATGGGAATAGTGTACAATAGTAACAAACTGTAGAGTTTATTGTGGAACTACTCAACAATTAATATCTTGCTAATTAAAGTTTGAAGATTCTAGGAAGCGAATCATGGAAAAGTAAATAGGCTTAATGCCAGGAAACTAGCACTACAGCTACCGTTCCTTTTCAGATCTTTTTTAAAATAATAATTAGCACTATACTACAACCAATGATTTTGTATCCCAAATTACACAGCCAAATTCAAAACCAAATTTTAAAGCAATTTTTATTTTATTCAAAACATTAAAATACAAATTTCAAAAACAGAAATACAAAAAAACCCACTACACTAAAATTAATAAACAAAACATATACATAAATCCCCCCCCCCGCTGAATAACTCATATTTCAAAAATAATAACTATTCCCCACTTGTGAAGCAGGCACACAAATTTCTATAATACTGTAAAGCCAACCCACTTAGCCTGGCACCTATCTAATATATAAAAACATATTTAACAGATAAAACCAACTACTGAATTAAACTTCTAAATCCTTGGTTAACAATTTATTTATTGTATTTCATTCACAGAAAGTCCACAATGGCTTCTAATCTACCATAAATCACAACAATCATTATCTCTCATCCGTCCAAGATCAAATATCCTCAAAGGATTCTTAATAATAAGGCTTTTCATTAAGGTATTAAACAGGATCTTTTCTAACAATTGGATTTTATTCCGCAAAGACATAAGTCTCTGTTGTGTATAATCTCCACAGCATTTGTTGTACAAAAAAGTCTCCTATGAATTGTAAAATATGTCTTAACATTTGTCTTCCTATTGGATATAGTAAATCAATTCCAATCCATTGTAAAGAAACCGACTTCTTTATACTGATGTGTTTTGTATCCAATGACAAGTAACATTCAATCTGTTTATTTATGGAGATTCTCAGTCATCCAGGTCACTGTTGTGCCAAAGGTGCTATATTTTTGTTCAAAATGCAACTGGACTTTCTAAGGGTTTTTTCCTTTTGAAAATTTCCATTTCTCCAAGTAGCTTCTTCAGTTTTCAAAGGAAAAAAACCTAAGAAAGTTGTTGCCTTTTGAAAAAATTAATCTTTGGGACATTGAATCTGTTTCTATCAATTTTAGTGTTCAACAAGAAATGTAGAGATACAGATGTTTATCTCTCAAATGCTCCTGATGTATATAATTTTATGAACACCTGAAATTTTGTCCAAATCACCACTACACAAAACTGAAGGAAAAATAAAAAAATAGTCTTTCGAGAGATCCATTTTTTTTTTCATTCAGTTCATCTGGCAGAACATGTTTTGTATCCTAATCAGAGGATATCATTCATCAGGAGGAAATATCTCCATTCTCAATTAAATTCTGGCCCTATGTCTTGAACAATTGGAAACAACTTTAATGAGACACTGCTGAATAACATGCAAAGAAAAAATTGGGATCAGACTTAAAACTGGCCAGTGGTAGAGAATAAATTGTCTTTCATATGGTTGGAGGCATACTGCAACACCTGAGAGTTGCCATCAGGCTCCTAAGCATTCTACCAAGAGTAGCATCTTATGAAGAAAATTTATGGTTTTCAGTCCAATGAAGATTTTTTAAAAAGCTAAAAAAATATCGAACATATATACGGCCAAGTAAAAAAAGGTCTTTCCTCGAGAGAATTGATTTCAAAAAGAACAGTTAGGCCCATGCAATGTGAGAAGTTACTCCTATCTGTGAAATCACCCTTCAGTGAAAGAGTGACTTGGAACAGGTCCAATGGTTGCCTTAGACTCAAATGGACAGATTTGATCCAAAAGTGACATTGGAATATTCAAATACTGACTTCAGCAAAAAGAAAACACTGGAGTTTTCCACTACTATACTGTAGTTGTATACTGCAACTATATCTTGCTTTATTCACTATACCAGCATTTCTCAATTGCTTGAAGATGTGTGTACTTCAACTCCCAGAATTCTCCAGCCAGTTATTTTTAACATTATTTTCAAATTTTTAGTATTTTGCTCCAAATACTGGTTTTTTTTTTACTTTTGTTCAAAGCTCAAAAATGTCAATTGAAATAATTTTGCTATGGTCATTATTAAATGTTGGAAAGGGAATTCTTTTTGTTAGTTATTACTCTTTGAATCAGATGCTTCTGTAAAACAAGACTGTCCAAATTTGCAAAAACGTTATTAGAGGAACAAAATAATCAAGAAATACTTTAAATTCAAACTATACTTTGACGCTTGCTGTTTGGTTTGGCTAAAAGAACCTTCAGAATAAGAGGCTACTGGACTTGGAAGATCATGAATTAAGATTTGGATGGCATGGTTACCTATGGTATGATAAAGTAAATGTTGATTTCAACAAACATTTTGTCAGACTTGCCATTTTGAGAGTTTGGAGTAAATATAAAACAAGGTTTTCCAAGAAGGAAAGTTTCCCCACAGGAAGTTTTTTTTTTCTTAGAAAATAAATGGTGACAAAGCCAAACTGGTGAATTTATGGTAAAATAATATCTTTCAACTTGGGTGACCCTACGCTCAAATCTAAGGATAATGTCATGTCTGCCATTGTTTTACATATCTACAATTGAAATATTTAATTAGACAAAAAGAAATATGGGTTTAACTTTGTCAAAAATGAATTGGAAATCATGAGTGGTAGTGATAAACATATTATTGCTAGTCTATAAAGTGTTATTGAATTTAAATCTGGAAAATGAAGGAACTTTGAGTATAATGTAATGCTTAAACAATGGGAGAATATGTGGAATAAAGGTTTAAAATTTACATTAAACTATAACTTAAAAGAAATACTTTAAATTGCAAAAGCAACCAGGCCTCATTACTCTTATGCACAACCCCCTGTATTACAATATTACCTTTTAAGGATGACTACCATCCAAAGACTGGACCAGCCCCATATCCATAGTTTAATCATAGTCTTATGTAGCTCATATGCATTTACTACATTGTCTATAGCAGGGGTCTCCAACCTTGGCAACTGTAAGACTTGTGGACTTCAACTCCTAGAGTTCCTCAGCCAGAAAAGCTGGCTGAGGAACTCTGGGAGTTGAAGTCCACAAATCTTACAGTTGCCAAGGTTGGAGATCCCTGGTCCATAGAATGCTTTAAGTAGTACCAAGCTCCTAATTTCTTAGCGTTGATAGACAACGTAATAGGGAAAGCCACCAATACCTGTAATAGGGGTCACTTTAGACGCCAAGTTTGATACACTGGATGTTTCTGGTATTAAATACACCGGTTTAGCATTCTCCGCTTGCCGAAACGAACTACTGTGAGACGAAGGCGGGGCAGAAGGTTGGGGTGGCTGGGCAGGCAAGTTCTTCTTCAACATCTGAGCAAAACTAGGTACCCTAGAAACCTGAGCCCAGTCATTTGCCATCTTTTCTCACCTAAAACCAAGTCGAGACAACAAAGAGCGTTATTTATCAGCAGGGCATTCCGGCGTCCATTAAGGCGGCCCTCCGTGCGCCGGTCCAAACTATTAGGAGAAGAATGGGCGACGGGGGTAGCGGAGAAAACGTGCCGCCCTTAGGAAACGAAGGCAGCCACTAACCCTCAACCCACCCAACGAGCGCCAACGGAAACTCCGCCTTCGAGAGAAACTACACGAAGCTGAAAAGAAAGCGCGGGAGAGAACCTCCGCAGTTCTAGAACCCCACGCGGGAAAACGCCGCCTTCGCCCGCTCTTAAGGCTGCGAATCACGTGCTTAACACTTCTCTTCCTCCGCCCGACGCTTTCACGTTCTTGGGCGGCGGCTCGCTGGTTGGGACGCCTCTTAGAAACGCGCGTTCCCGGCTTGCTGCAACAGAGCTGAGCGGGTTCGGAGGGGGGGGGGGCGAGGGGAAGGGCGGTCGGAAGACGCGGGCTCCAACTGATCGGTTGGAAAGGCAAGGGCGATTTTTATCTGACCGCCTGTATTTAAGAGTAAGGGCTGCCTCCCGCTTTAAAAAGTTGGACGAATAGGAAGGATTTCGGGGAGGGGCCTTCTGAAGCGTTTTTATTCCGAAGTGGAATTAGTGGAAAAAGCTACACCTGCTTGGCTCAGCGTGGCCACGTTACCGAGTCTGGCTTGCTGGCCCGAATGTAACTTTACAGTCTCCGCTACACATAATAATCAATATACATATTCATTTTTTTATAAAGTGACAAAAGTAATGGACCAGGGAAAGTGCTGTGGACGTACTATACTTGGATTTCAGTAAGGCATTCAGCAAAATAGAGCACAGCCTACTTTTGATAAGCTGCAAAAATGTGAGATAGACAGCACTACTAGATGGATTTGTAACTGCTTGACAAACTGTAACGTCCTTAATGGTAGTACATCTACGTGGAACGAAGTAGGCAGTAGGGTACAAGGTACTCTTAGGCCCAATACTTTTCAATATCTTCATAAACGATTTTGATGAGGGAACTGAAGGGGAATTCAATAAATTTTTAGATAAACACTAAACTAGCAATAGTAGCCAACACCCTAGATTATAGGGCCAGGTTCTAAATGCATATCAACAGATATATGTATATATTTGTCAATATACATTTGGATCCTAAGCCTATAATCTAGGGCAGAGGTCTCCAACCTTAACAACTTCAAGACTTGGGGACTTCAACTCCCAGAATTCCTCAGCCAGCTTTTTCTGGCTGAGGAATTCTGGGAGTTGAAGTCCCCAAGTCTTAAAGTTGCTAAGGTTGGAGACCCTTGATCTAGGGCAGGGGTAGGGAAACTTGGTTCTTTTATCACTTATGGACTTCAACTCCCAGAATTCCTGAGTGAACAATAAAAAGTTCCCCATCCCTGGCCTACATGTCCAACATTTGTATATTAAACAGTCCCATTCAAGTCAAAAATTGATTTCCCCACAACAACTGAAAAATCAGTAGGCCAGGGTTGGGGAACCTTTTATGGCTCATTCAGGAATTCTGGGAGTTGAAGTCCGTAAGTGATTAAAAACCAAGTTCCCCTACCCCTGATCTCGGGTGTTGATTAATAAATGTTACTAATTTATATGGAATTTAGGAGGATTATTGCAGTTCAATGTAATCCTTTTCACTGAAATCTTAAAACCCCTGTGGTCAAGATATTCCAAAACATATGAAGGTGTATAGCTTTATAGTTCCCGCTGCCTTAGGAAAGCTCAAAACATTCTCAAAGATCCATCTCATCGTGGGAACCCTGTAGTGGCAAGAAAATTCCTGTAGTTGGCAGTAGTAGCAGCAAACTGCACTATAGTTCCTAAACAGGCCTCTTCCCCTTATCTCACTCTCAGGCTGGTGAGTCCCAAACTAATAATTATATAACCTTGTACTTATCAACCAGATGTTACAGAGTTGTCACGAGCAGAAATCATTAGATTTCTCAAGGATTGGTTAAAAGTTTCACCAATGCTGCATCTATTCTCCAAATGTAACCAATCCAAATGCTGTATCTATGTTGCCTTTGCCTTCTTGTGAAAAACCCTATAAAAGGAATAAACACTATGTAGGTAGTCAGACATCTTGGCACTCTGCACAATGACTGGTCTTTGATCACCACAGAACCCTTTTTTTGAACTATTACCATCTGGCAGACAGTACAGAATAATAAAAACAAGGATAAATAAGCTGAAAAACAGCTTCTATCCCAGGGCAGTAACTCTTTTGAATTCTGTACAGTACAGTGCAGTGTTGGTGTAGTGTCGGGGATTTTCAGGTCAATGTGTGAAGGATGTGTGTTTGTGTTTATTTTCATGGTCATGGTCATGATGTGCACTGAAGATGGTGTTTAATTTTGTTGTACGAGGTGCAATGACAATGAAAGTAAACTAAACTAAACTAGTTACATTTATATGGATATTATCTATTAAGTTGGTATTCTGGTGAGAATAAAGCAATGGGTACAATAAAAGTTTTTAAAATCTCATCTAAAAGTAAATAATGTCATTAGTACAGGAGCATTTTATTTGACAGTATCCAGTACTTTCCCCATATATCTGTCTATTATTTATATATGTTCCTTGTAAAAAATGATCAACTAGGTTACATTTGATATTAATTTTTATTTCAAGTATAACAAACTGATACAACTGATGCAGAATATTGCACACAATATAGCTGTAAATATCAAACAGTTATTTCATAGTTTTCTTCACAACATTGGTCATACAGTGCTAGACTGAACACAAAATGATATCCTCTTTCAAAATAAGTTATTCACAATATTGATGAAGTTTTAAATATAGCAGCAAAAAAAGCTGTTAGGGTTCTTTCAGTGTAAATTGTTTTAAAATTATACAGTGACAATACCATAAAACAAAAGATTTTAAAAAGTCTGTTTGCTATCCTAATTCTAGGATTTTTAGTGATCTTCCTTGTCTTTTCCTTTCTTTTCTTTTTCATCCTGTAATGCAGTGCCAAGTTTTTTTATGAGAACTGACAAAACTTTATCCAGGGGATCCATGACTCCACGTTGAAGCCACTTGGGAATAGTGGTTCTTGCATGATGGAAACCAAGCTTCTGAAGAATATAATCCACACCAACAGGATCAATCTTTCTTCCAGTCCAAGAGATTAACCTATAAATTAAAACATTCTATCACTTTCAATAAGCAAGAATAAATTAATTTTCTACAGTTCTACATATGTTAATAGCCATAGGTTCTACAGGATAAGGGTAAGTATATAGGTCTTGCATCTTCCTGAATCTTTCCAGGTCCTGCCTTTTCTTTCCTGTCCTAGGCTGTCCCTAATTATGTCCTAGTCCAAGATGCCCCCACCCCACCCCAGGCCTGTTTGTCCCACTAGTCTTCCTGCCACTACCCAATAGTTGGTATTTTTCTCTGCTCTCTCCTCCTCTGTTCCTTCCCCTTTACACAGAAGTTGGTTTTATACTGTGCATGAAACAAAACATCAAAAACTTGTTTGATCTGGTACAGATCAACCAGAACCAATTGTTCATGCATGGAATGGTTGGCAACCCCTAATTTCCAGCTATTTATACAACCTTTTCTGGTTTTTATTTGTATATGTCAAGAAGCACTCTTCCTTGAATTGTTTTTTTTTTAACTGTGTGGAGATTGCAGCCTTTAATTCCATTTGCCAGTACTGTATCTAAGGACAAAAGTATGAATACAAATGAACTATATGATTATTTAAAATTTTGCTGATTTGAAAAGTATGGTTGTACCAATTTAATAAATAATACTGCTGCTTTTTTCTTAAATATTGTTCCTTAGCTTGAGTTTTCTAAAGATACCAGCTTGCCTCTTATATAGTTCTAAGACATAAACTTTGTAGTAGTACTGAACTTTATAAAATTGGAAAGGAGGGGAGAGAAACATAAATCAAATGAACGAATAGTGTAAAGGTTTTTCTATTGTAATTCTCTTGTCATTTTAAGGCATAGGTGTCCAATCTTTTGGCTTGCCTGGGCCGCACTGTGTTAAGATGAATTGTAAAATATAAAATATAATTAATGTATATAGATCATATAATATTAAAAGTGTATGGTCCTGCAGTGTATGGTCCAGAGCCACATGCGGTCTATTTTAGGGGGAGGAGAACATTGATGGTTGCACTTAGCGGTTTTATGTCTTTGGGTTTGAAAGTTTAAATGCTAGAAGACAAGTCATGTGTCTTACAATATCACTATACCTTTTTATTTTTTCCATAAAAATTTTCCATAAAAAATTATGATAGGTATAGAAAGGTAATTTTTGCTATTCTGGTTAAGAAAATGCATTTGATTATTCCCACAGAATTATGGCACTCTAAGCAACCTTGAATCATTATTTCTCATCCCAATTTGTTTCACATGATAGATATTTGCAAAAATAAAACATTGCCTTTAACCTCTAAAGATAGAATATAAATATACATTCAAAACTAAATAAACAAAAAGTGGCAAAATGCCACCACAGTTAATGTTAATTACTAATATATAAAATATACATTATATAAATAATATTAAATAATAATACTAATAGTTAATGTTCAGTGATATATATTAAAAATTGTATTAATATAGAAACAAATGTATTATTCATAGTATAAATTTTCTTTTCTATGCATTTTTGTAAATAGTTTCTAGCTGTGTTGCCTACAGTTAGAGTTAGAATTGTCATTTAGAAATTTCTAAATGACAATTCACTGTTTAGTAATAAGTAGTGGAATAATTGTCTGAAAATCAGATTGATTATTGAAAAGAAGTGCTAATTACCTCAATGTGGGCTCCAAATGCCAGGTATTACAGATAAATTCTCTCCAATCCACAGTTGTGTAAGTAACACTTTCTTCCAATTCTTTTTCAGTAGTGCTCTCATCAAGTACACTGATGGGGCTTTTTTGTCCTGGCCGACTAAACAAAGTACGAGGTGGAAAGACTGCTAGAAAAAGAACAGAAATGT